TTTACAAGTTACAGAAGAATACATGAAATATACAAAAATTGTTACAATGATGTTGTGGGGATAATTTTGTCAAAGTAATTATTGTGTTACTTTAAATTAATTTAAGTATCTAGGTGGATTACTAAGGTTGAATGGATCAACTACATCCTTGTTTATAGCATTAAAAATAAAATTAAAAATGACAATCAGAGAAGTGTCTTACTGGAAACTCTACTCTCAACAGTTTTATCGTCTTATTCATGGAAGGGGCTGATTTGGATGGATGGAGAAAAGGCAGCATCACATCATGCCATTTGAAGAAAACATGGGCTTAGGAAGCGTACTTAATGAGTTAAGATTCAATCTCAGTACCATAGTATATACATAACTTTGACAAATTCTTTTCCGTGAGCCTGAATTTCATCATATCTGAAACATACATAACAATGTTACAAAAGTTCCTTTAATGCTCAACATAAGAGTCCTAAATAAAATGATGACTTTAAAATATCTAACAAATCCTATATCTCCCCCTGCCAATATTAGCTCCCTTCCATCTTGAATTTCTAATGCTATTAGCATCCAAAAAATATCAAGAGTTCTATGATTTAAAAACGACATAGCAGTGCAAATTTGGAAAGTCTTTTTAAAAGAAGTTTTGTATACTGGACTTCTTTTAAACAAAAGGATTTTAGATTTTGCACTTGGTCTTGTATGAAACTTCCATCCATTTTTCAACCCACCAATATATAAACTGCATTTTCCTGTTGCTTTCTGGTAACTGTCTGGTGCTTGATTCTCCTTTTGCCATCTTAAGTTTGTGGATGTTGAAAAAGCATACAGGGAAAAATGAACACAGAGAAATCCTCAACATGTCCCTCCCTCTTCATTCCCACTTTCAACATCTACTCATCTAGGTACAAGATTCCCGGGCTAGCCTATCTAAATGCAATCCAACCCCTAAGTTTCATACCTATTGAACTCTCTGTTAGCCTGGGATACAATAGGAGAAGAGTTTTAGATACTTACTTTTTTACAGAAATGCATCAAAATTGAATTTATTTGGCCCAAATTTCTGTAATATCTCCAGGAACACTTTAACCAAATATTTAATAACTATTTATACAAATATTTGAAAACTTTATTGTGCAAAAACAAGTCATTAATACCTTCTAAACTTCCCATCTTTTCCTCTCAAATGGCTCTTTTCCTTCCTTAATATTTATGCCTCATTATCTTTCAATGATGAGTTCCCTACATAACTCTTGCAAGAAGATTTTTCTGATTATTCTTTTTTTTCTCTTGCTATATTTTCTTTCCACCAATAACTTTAAACTATACACAACATTTGGTATATTTTGTTATTTTTTGTGCGTGTGTGTGTGTCTGTTTTACCTTTATTTTTCCTAAAGGCTTTTCATTTCTTAAGGACAAGAATTACATTTAACATTTCTTCTATAACCCTTAATGTATGTAAGATGGAAATTAGGGATATAGTTTCAAATTCACCACAATGGTCCTAGGGATGGTGAAAGTAGAATTCTGCAGCTTGAATACATGCCATCAGCTGAACTAAGTTGAAATTACTCTAACTCAACTCACTTAGGTTTTCCCTGCCAGACATTTGCTGGATTTCAGTCTTCCTCACGTGAAAGGAAATGATAACCCAATGTTGAATCAACTCACCAAAAGACAGATTTTCCTTATGTATTTTTTATTGAAGGCTTCCTTGCTATTATTACCAAACAGCACTCTCATTCTTTTACAAAATTGAAATTTTCCTATAATTTTTCATTCTTTACAGGCAGTGAGTGCCTCTTTCAAAATGCAATTCAAAAAAACATTCAATTATTGACTTTTTTCCAATTGTAAAGAATTTTGAAAGGAACATAGAGATGTTTCCAGAGGAAGATATAGATCTGGAAACTAAATCCCGGGATCGTGTTATTTATTTTACACTTAACTGCTTGACCTTAGGGATACAGACCCCAGAGAAACATGACTGGGCTTATTTTCATGAGCTATAGACCAAATAATTAGAAGAAATGCTCTCTTCGGTAACTTAAGTTATAATTTCTTCTAAATAATTAACATTGATTTTTATGTCTTAAAAAAAATAGTTTCTCTGGGTACAGAGGCTATACTTCTGAAAAATTACCAAAAGAAAACCACAGCCATCTATTTCAATAACCCCAATATAATTATAGTTTTATAGTTAATTTTTCATTCTTTATACATTTCATTTATATTTTTGTACAGGTATTTATGTAGAAACACACTTACCGTTACTGTATAAATAGTTTTACATTCTACCCAGCAGTATTATATACTGAATATGCTTTCATCTGGGGGTTAGAGTAGTGGAGATATCTTAGGTATCCTGATTGTAGCTGTGGATCTAGCTGTATTTTTCAGTACAATCATAAAGTTCACAGTGATGGTAGTTCAAATCCATCTATGTGATTTCTTATTTACACCTCAAACGGAAAAAAAAAAAAGAGAGAAGAAAGAAAGTGGTGTTAAATATTGACCCAATAAAATGCCACCATGTTTGTTCCTTGACCAGAAAACCTTAAGATATGGTCATCTGCATTGGCATTTGAAAGCAAGACATATCAAAATTATTCAAAGGGATTGGAGATTCTAGTGCAGCTAATAGTGGCGGATTTAGCCAAATTAGTAATCTAAATAGAAATAGCTAAGTCAGGTTCATGTTTACAAGTGGTGTTGGCTGCCACCCAGTCGGCCCCAATCCTTGGTGACCCATGTACAGTTGAACAAAATGCTTCCTGGTTTGGCACCATCCCCATGATCAGCTGTAGATTGGACAGTATTCTGTTGTGTTACATAGGGTTTTCATTAGCTGAATTTCAGAAGTATATTTCCAGGTCTTCCTTTCTAGCTCATTTTAATCTGGGAGCTCCGTTGAAACTTGGTCAGCATCAGAGCAACATGTAAACCACAGCAGACAAAGGGGTGGTGGCTATGCATGTGTAAGCTATTTTTAATAGGGAATGGCTAGCAAAAAATTGCCCACTGGTTTTAAGTGAGCAGGCTATGTGAGTTTCTGTGGGTGACCCACATTAGCACAGTTACTCTGGAGTTTCTGTTGAAGTCAAGCCAGGAATTAAATCACTGAAAACAGACATTTAAAATCTAAGCAAAAGACCACTTTAAAACAGACCACTGAGAGGCAAAACGTTTTTTGCTACTATTTTTCAGGTTTCTCAGTTTGATTCATAAGCCAAAATTTAAAGGATAAATATACCTCAGGTTCATATGGTTACAATAGCTTTGTATAACAAGGTCTATATTTCTGTTAATTATTGATTAAATATATTAATATGTTGCAGTTTTAAAGTCCAGTCTTCCAAATTTTGTCGGGATTCTATATAGGTTTTGGTCAAGAGAAGGGGCTAGCCTGTTTTCATCTCCAATACGTGGTTTCCTTATAATTTTAAATTGTTGATTTCATAAGCTCTGAACATGGATTTAGATCAGAAACCCAGATTGAGGGTTCTCCAACAGAAGGGTACGGTGTTTCGATAGATATGTACATACATACATACATAAACAAAAAATTTTAAAAATGGGGATACTTATTAAGGGGGACACCCCATCATCTTGGATTAAAGTACAGAAGCATTTCAACAAGTATTGCAAGTCCAAAGGTTAAAGCAGTATTTAAAATGTAGATGTTAAACACTCTGAATCAAATAATCTGTAAGAATTCCTCACCTTTTACTTTGAACTTAACCCGTTGCCATTGAGTTAATTCCAACTCATGGTGACCTCTTTTGTTACAGAGTAGAACTTTTCCATTGGGTTTTCATGATTGTAATCTTTACAGAAGCAGATCACCGGGCCTTTCTTCCTTGGGGCTCCTTGAGTTCAGTCCACCAACCTTTAGGTTAGTAGTCAAGAGCAAACAGTTTGCAACACCCAAGGACCCTACGCTGGATTCAGTCATGTGATTTTCTTTCAGTGACAGAGCGTTAATTGTTGAGGCCCAAACAGGGACTTGAAGTATGGTTTATTGGTGAGCATACTCTATTGTGACACTGCTTTCAACATAGAGCATTAGCCAACTAGACCAAGGAAGTGATATATATACAGATTTGTTAAGTGAAAGTTAGCTAATCAAATAGACCCTTTTGACACATAAGTGGCCTGGCTGATATCAGCAAAGCTACTTCAGTCAAGCCACTGATACAAAATGAATTATGCATATTGTTGCATATCACTGAGAGTTTATGATTATTTGTTTTCCATTAGTAAAGAACCTTGCCCAAATACTGTGAATTGCATCTATGCCAATATCCTAGGTGTTATATTTTTGTATCATGGGGTAAATGAAGTAAAAGATATATGGGATGTCTTTATATTATTTCTTACAACTGAAAAGAAATGTAAATTTATCTTAGTAAAATTTTCAAGTAAAAAAAAAACACTAAGTAAATCACAATCACATAACATAAATGACAAAAGGAAAGTTATGGGCATATATTTCTAAATTGTGTATTGTTTTCTGGTGATCTAGTACATTGAGGAAAAATATAATTTATATTACCAAATATAATTTAAATGCACCAGATTGTGGTCACTGTAGGGAAGAGAGACTTATTATTTATTTTTGTTACCCTGGGAATCTTCCAATGCGAAGATAGTCCATTTGGAATTAAATTAACATTTTTAATTATATATTGAGAGTCTAACGCCAAACAGCTCTTTCTGTAGTCATTTCTAGCATGAACAAAACTCCCTCATTGTAAGCTATAACTTTTCCCATCACCTAAAAAAAATTCCATGTCATGTAACTTAAAGTGATTTGAAAGTTGGCTTGGACAAGTACATGGTCATGTATAACAAAAAAACTTTGTGTGGCAATTTCTGAATAAAAGACTTAGTTTAATTGGTCTGAATTTTACTTTCTAATAGTACTTGTAGTGTTAAGGTTATTTTACTAAACATTAAAGTAAACAGATATTGAAATGTAAGCAGAAAGTTTACCATACATTCAGGTACTGACTTACTGTTGATTAATTCTCACCAGTACTCTCATTAAGAGAAAATGAAATATTTATAGATGTAGATTTTTAAAACAGAATAATTTGGTATTGATTAACTTCCTGACTGTCTCCTTTACATCTTTATTCCTGAGGCTGTAGATCGGGGGTTCGGAATGGGGATGACCACTGTGTAAAACACAGAGGCCACCTTGACCATGAGCCATGAGCGCTTGGAGTTAGGCACACAGTAGAGAGAAAGGATGGTTCCATGGAAGATGTAAATGGCGGTTAGGTGGGAGGCGCAGGTGGAGAAGGCTTTGTGGCGTCCTCCAGTGGAAGGCATCTTCATGACAGTGATGAATATGAAAGCATAGGAAGTAAGAATGATCATCAGGCTGCTTATTTCATTGAATGTGGCAGACACTAAAATTATCTTTTGACTAATGTAGGGGTCAGAGCAGGACACAGCAACAATGGCAGCATGCTCACAGACAAAGTTGCTTATGAGCTGGGTCCCACAGAAGGATAATGTCAACAGAAAGTAGGTGACTGTCAAGGAACACACTATACTCCAATAATATGAGGCAGCCACCAACAAGAAACAATGCTTTAGGGACTTTGTAACCGCATAAAACAAGGGGTTGCAAACTGCTACAAATTGATCATAGGCCATCACTGCCAACATGAATGTCTCTGTCACCACAAATATGCAAGCCAAGAAGAATTGCTTGATGCACCCTCTAAAGGAGATAGTTCTGTCTTCCACACCCAGGTTTTCTAACAGTTTGGGTGTAAGTACTGAAGAGTAACAAAAATCAGCAAAGGACAAGTGGCTGAGGAAAAAGTACATGGGAGTATGGAGTCTGGATTGGTTCTGATGAATAAGACCATGTCCAGATTCCCAACAATGATGACTGTGTAGATGGTCAGGAAAATCATGAAGAGGGGCACCTGGAGGTCTGGGTGTTCTGAGAAGCCCAAGAGGATGAATGTGGCTCCAGCACTCTGATTTTCTTGGTTCCTGTTGAGAAAATAAGAAATCTGGTTATCCTGAGAAATAAACTTGAATTAGGCAGTAGAAAATGAAAAAAATATGTCAGGTTTTCAGAGTGTCTATAAAGATTTTTCAGAAAATACTTGTTTGCCCCTGTTACTTTATTTAAATAATTAAAACTTACTAGTATCACATTTACTCAGTGAATATTAGTTTTGTGCAAGTGAAATATTAAAATATTACAGAGCAAAATTAGAAGAGGAATAACAGAAAGTAGACCCTTATATATTTCAAACAATCAAAATCAGTATCATCAGAGGCAGCTGGCTTCATGAGAAAGGCAACTTTGTCTCTTAGCATGAATCTGAATTTCTTTAAAATAATTGTTTTATAAGGAATACAAAGAATTTCTGCAGTCTCTTCCAGTCTCTCCTTGTCATCCATGAGCAATTAACTTAGAAATATTTAATTTTTAAATGTGAGTAACACAGGAAAATGGACAAGACAAAGTTTTCTTGGTTGGGCTCTTTTCCTTTTCAGAACTCTTCATTACCCTACTAACCCAATACTCTCAACATATTCTATAGCTCTGTAGTAGAAGACTACTGAATTTTTTCACTTATCACAAAATAATTTTTTAATGTTATTCTTCAACTGATATCATTTCAATAGATTCTCACTACAAAATATTTACTGTGTAATCTTTAATAAAAATACTTGAAACAATAATTAATGTAAATCTCTTCCTTTCCAATGCGGCCGATTTGGGGAAGATGGGTAAGTAATAAATAGTAAAAACTGTGAAAGTACTAGACACCGCTATTAAATGTTATCCTGCAGCAAAAATAAGTATTATCATCCTGAAACAAGTTTTAAGCTATGCAAACTACAAATGTCAGGCTAGAGACCCACCTCAGATTGCATACCATGATATGCTTGATGTCACTGGTACAGAACCTCAGACATGAGAAATTTGTATTCAGTATCAAGTACAGTTGGTTGGGTTCATTTTTATTTCCCTTGTAGTTCAAGATACCTACTCAGTAATTTTATTTTTAGATGTTTGTCAAATGTCTACACATATGGAGTTAAGCCTTACTTAAATAGAGTATGAGAAATTCCTGCAGGCCACTCTAGAGCAGAAGTCAAGTATGTCCCTGTATTCTCAGAGAATCCCTGCACTCCTAGGCTCCATGACGAGCAGAAGGGAAAAGAGCTCTTTCTGAACCTGGCAACATAGCCCTCAAAACTATCCTCCCCTCAGTACTCCCAGCCTCTTCCCTATAGCAATGGAAAAGTAATAATTAATCCTATTATATCCTTAATATCTCTCTGCTTAGTTATTTACTGAAGCCCAGATATACAAAGGATATCTCTCATCCTTCTTTCATAATCTTCATATGAATCTGCTCCTCATGGTTTCTGACACATCTCCTATCTCTTCCCATTCACTGATATCATTCCACCATGCTTTCTGGAAATAAATAATAAATCAGTTCCCAAGTAAGGATTTGAATCACTTACTGATGAAGATCAAAGACCACAACCTTCAGTATGGATTACACCTCAACATAAGGAAAACAAAAATCCTCACATCTGGACCAGTAAGCAACATCATGATAAATGGAGAAAAGATTGAAGGTGTCAAGGATTTCATTTTACTTGGATCCACAATCAACACCCATGGAAGCAGCAGGCAAGAAATCAAAAGATGCATTGCATTGGGCAAATCTGCTACAGAAGACCTCTATAAAAGTGTTGAAAAGCAAAGATGTCACCTTGAAGACTAAGGTGTGCCTGACCCAAGCCATGGTGTTTTCAGTTGCCTGATATGCGTGTGAAAGCTGGATGATGAATAAGGAAGAGGGAAGTAGAACTGACATCTTTGAATTGTGGTGTTGGCAAAGAATAGTGAATATACCATGGACTGGCAAATGAATGAACAAATCTATCTTGGAAGAAGTATAACCAGAATGCTCCTTGGAAGCAAGGATGGCGAGACTACATCTCACATACTTTGGACATGTTATCAGGAGAGTTCAGTTCCTGGAGACAGACATCATGTGTGCTAAAGTAGAGGGCCGGCGAAAAAGGGGAAGACCCTCAACAAGATGGATTGACACATTGGCTGCAACAGTGGGCTCAAGCATAACTATGATTGTGAGGATGTCTCAGGACTGGACAGTGTTTCATTCTGTTGTGCATAGGGTCATTATGAATAGGAACTGACTCAATAGTACCTAACAACAACAACAACAAAGTAAGAAGTATAATAGAAATGCTTCCTTATTAATTAATATCTTTCACAGGTTGAAGTTTGGTTATTTGTAAAGTTATCACCAGGTCTAATGATGTCCATGAAGCAGCAGTTAAATAAACCCATGATATTGATGACTACCATCACTTTTTTGTTCCTCATAATCGTTCTTGTGATGGTGTTGAAAGTGATGATTAGGCTATGGAAGCATTCACTGGCAATTTGATTATTTTCACTTAGGCACTGGCTTCTCTACTATCTGAACATGAATGACAAATACGGCTAGATTTTATCTAATCAGTCCTAGTCTAAGATGTGTAATTACATTTTCCCCATTCTCCTTTATGAATTATCATCACTTTATATCTCTCTAATTTTATCAGGTTTGGGCATGTAGGAAAAATGTCTCCCGAAGACTAATTCCTCAAACATTCCTATACTACCATTCTATATAAGGCTACTACCATTCTATTTAAAGTACTACTCAGTTAGATTATGGCCACATATTTTCAACCAAACTTCTCAATTTTATTTTTAGGATTATTCTCAATACTTCAATGCAACATGCCAGAATAATTTTCCATGATCACTTTATCCTAACAGTCAATATTATTTAAGATCTAAATGCTTTTATTTAGTGAATACATGTTGTCCGGCTGTGTTTTCCAAAACTGTTCGAGGTCTGTGTATTCAGCCTTAGTTAACTTCATTACCGCTGACACGTGCTTCTCTTATCATGGTGAATTCATCCAACTCTGTTAAGCAGATCATGCTCATTTGTGTAAAGTATATTTTCCCATTTTATCCTCTCTCCTGTAATGCTTTATTTTTCCCTCTAGTATTATAGATATTATGTATTCTTTCTTATCCTCTGTACACACACAGACTATAAGGTTTACAGCTCAACAGTTACCGTATGCTGTATCCTATAATTTATAAATATGTTGATTACTGTCACCTTTTTTCTCAGGCATTATAGAAATTTTGAGAACAAAGCTCATATTTGATTATTCTCTATTGACCAAATGCCTACTACGGTGCTGGGTACCTGATGAGAAAGCCAGGAAGTATCATTGGAAAGTTAGAATGTGTAATGGCATAATATCTTGAGCTCTCTCCAAGCCAAACTGACTAGATTTTAATGGACACGTGTGTTGGTCTAGTCAATGAACACGTGTTCATTTCCTAAAAAGATTATCATAACTCAATATTTTATTTCTATTTTATATATGAAATTATTTCTAAAGTGAAATAAAACAAGTATTGAATAAACTCACCTAAATACCTAAGCACTTGGGTGATTCACTGACTGAAGTTTCCTTTGCTAAGATGGATGAACTCCAAGAATTCTCCTGATTAGTATTCTAGTAGAATATAAATCAACTTAAAAATAGTGGTAGGAGTCCATAGTATGTAAATATATCCTTTAATATTTCATATAAACAACGTTTCTTGAACCTATTAAGAAAATCCAGTATAAGCAGAGAGAAAAGCAGGTTGAACAGCTAATTTCGTGAACAAATTGTGTCAAATATATGTCATCATGGCCATTGGGATGTAGACCAAAGAGAATATCATAAAAGCATTGCCTTGGAGGTCACAATTTGAACAATTAGATGAAACATTGTCCCATGTGATTTCTTGTTGTATATATGTTTTTTAAAGATCTAGGGACATTTGTATCACTAGCTTTACTCCATTCATCTATAAAAAACAAAAAATGAACCAGAGTGAATATATATTGATTTTATACACATGTAAATTACAGAAATGTGCAAGGGAAAAATTCTGCTATAAAACAACAATTTATTTATTTGCTTTATCGGTAATCATTTTTTTATTTGTTATTATTGTAAAATTTATATTTTTAATTCCATAACGCATTGTATTTACAAGAATATACATAAATACAACTGACTTTAAACTTATACATGGTAGTATTTTTGCAGATAGCTTTAGATTTTATGCTAGTTATCATGATGTCTATGTATAGAAATAGTTTTAATGTTTTCCTTCTTAGCCTCATGACTATATTTTTCATGCTTAATTGTGGTTGCTGAGACTGCCAATAAATATGGGAATAGAAATTATGAGAGTGGACCTCTTTGCTTTACTCTCAGTTTTAAAGGAGAGGCATTCAATATTTCACCTTACAGTACTATGTCAGATATAAGCATTTTTATAGAAACTATCAGTTTTAAGAAGACTCTATTGCTAGTTTTAGCACAATATTAGTACAGTAAAGAGGAAAAGGTTTACAATCTGCTCAATAGGTGCAGAAAAAGCATATCACAAAATATAACATCCATTTTTTATAAAAAGAATCTGAAAACTAGGAACAGAAGGAAACTTCCTCAATCTGAGGAATCTATTAAAAATACTATAGCTGACATTATATTTAGTATAGAAGACTGGATGTTTTCTTCCTAAGATCAGAAAAATATGTCAACTCTCACCAGTTCCACTTAGCATTGTACTTGAGGTTTTAAACAATGCAAAAATGCATGTAAATAAATAAAAGTCCTCCACACAACATGATCATTTATGAATAAAATCCTATGCAATCTACATAAAAAAAATTTTTAGAACTCAAAATTAA